CCCCTGAAGGCCCCACAGGGCCCTGGGTCATTATCAGTCAGGTAGACAGCTGGTTATGCACCAGACTGTTGGCAGCTCAAGCCTGTCACTACACAGATAAGAGCTAAGCCAGGGGAACCTAGAGGATACCTTTCCCAGATGTGACCCTGAGGGCATGCTGACAGAGAGCATGATCTTTGAGGATGGGAGGTCTGACAACGACTTCCTGCAGAGAAACAGCATGAAAACCACACCTAACAGCTGTGGTCACAAGGACTTACAGATGCCACCACCCTGTGTCACAGAAAGCCACTTTTCCGTCTTTGTGTCTGCTATTTTCACACCCACTTCAGAGGTAAGGGCACCCAGGCTTGGGTCTCACAGCTAGGTCTGACCCCAGAGCTAAGAATCCCCATGCTGCCAGAGTTGAGGTTCCTGCAGATACATGTGGAGGCCAGGACTGGAGGAATGGTAGAGGAATGAGCTATGGAAACAGGAACCAGATTCTAGGCGAAGCTGCAGGTCATGCTAAGCCTGGTTCCACAGTGGCTCAGAGAGACAAGATAGGCATCTAGAGCCCCAAAGGGCTTGGTGAGTACAACACCTTAGCTCTCCTCTGTAGGGACAATGGGGAAACGGGAAAGTGGAAAGGGCCTGCCAAGAAAGGAGCTTAGTCAAGCGCAGACCCAATGTTAGGCTCTGGAATGAACCGGAGAGTGGTGGGCAGAACTCACAGTCTTCCAGAAAGTAAAGCTGAAGCTGCATGGCTAAGGGCTCCATCTGGGGCCAGGAAAGAAGACGAAATGGGAACATACTAAGTTTGGAGCTTAGCAGCACAACTATGCAATTTCCTATCAACTGCATAAACTTGCAAGGACAAATTACTGTTGGAGAAAAGTAGCTTAGGCAGAAAATGCCTATATGAATGTAAACTTTAGCCTCACTAATAACTACAAATTAAAGTGGCTACTTTTCTTACCCAGTAAATTTCAAAACCTCTTAAAACACTCCACAGAACCCTCTCTGGGCTCTCTCTCTGGAGCCTGGGGATTCGGCACAGAGCGCTTGCAGACAGCCCTCACTCTGTGGGAAAGCATCGGCTTCAGTCTTATGTGGCAGGAAATGACCCACCGAGGCTGAGGTTGTCATTTCCTGCAGCATGACCAGTACACAGATATTCTCACTTCCTTTACAATGGCGCTTTGAGAGATGCCCGGTCACCCCCTTTTGGAAACTAGGATAGTATTGCAAATTAAAAATGTAAAACAAAATTCTATGGTTCACTCCATAAGAGGTAGAGAAAGGTAGAGAAAACTAGAGCCCACATGTTTCCTGTCCTTGAATTCCACAACGTAAGTGACTCTCAGGATCCCAGTTCTGTAAGAACTGGTCCTACTCAGGGACAGATGGGCCCCCGGCATGCACAGTACCTCCCCGGGACAGTTCAGGGTCAGCATCGGCTGCCATGTACCAGCTTTTCTCCTTAGAGATCCCTGTCTATGTGTGGGCAACCATCAGAGCAGAACCTGCCCATCTCCTTGGGTGCCCTCATGGGCAGAAAAGTTGACACAACCTTCCTGGATAATATTTTGTCCACAAAAGACATGTTTCTAAAACACAAGCTCCCGGTCATCAATAAATCCTATTCAGCTCCAACGGTGGGTGAGTATGCAGCCTTGGCCTTGTTACCATTACCTCCAAGCTTCATGTTGCCGTTCAGAAGCCCTGGCTATCTGACTCTTTCAAATACTCTTCTGAACACATTCATTTGAAAAGTGTGCCTTGCTCACAGTAGGGACAGAGCACGCTAACCCTAGAGGGTCAAGGCCAGGTAACTACGCCCAAACAACATGTCTTCTTCCTTGTTTCCCCTTGCCATTTCCTGCCACTCGTGCCCCCGTCTCGCCGTCACTAAAACGGGACATTAGCCGTCAGGCCCAATCCCCTTGTCTCAGTTGTCTTTCTATCGCTCTGAGAAAACGCCACGATCAAAAGCAACTTGAGGAGAAAAGGGTTTATTTCATTTCAGTTTCCAGTCCTTCACCAAGAGAAGTCAGAGCAAGAAACCAAGGCAGGGACCTAGAGGCAGGAACTGAGAAGCACTGCTCACTGGCTTGCCAACCCACGGCGCACTCAGCCTGCTTGCTCTCTTACAGCACCTTGGATCACCTTCCCGGGATGGCAACAGCCCTCCCGACTTAATCACCAATTGAGAAAATGCCACACCAAGTTGCTTACAGGTCAACCTGATGGAGGCTGTTCCTCAACCGAGGCTCCTCTTCCCAGGTACCCTTGACTTGTGCCAAGTTAACAAAATAAAATAAAACAACCAGCGCACCCCATCTTTGAGTATTGCACACATTTATTCACACATGGGGAAGACATAAATAATGTATCTGCACACATGCATGCATACACAGGGAAAGACATGCATATGTACACACAGAAGAATATGAACATGTAATAAAATACATACTGTTCCCCTATTACCCTGCCCTGTTCAATCACCAGGCCCAGCCTCCGTTTCTAACACTCAGCTAGGTAGGTGCAGGACATTCCTGAAGACATTTCATTAAAAGTAAGAATTTTCTGTTCACTACAACACCATTAAAAATTAATTATAATAATTACTCATTTTTTCTATGCTTTGGGAGAAAGGAGGCCAAAATCAATGCGAAAGGCCAAGCTGGAACAGAGACTACTTGGACCAGTACACTACCCACTCTGCCGTGTGTGGCTTCTCAAAGACAGTACAGTTGATGGGATCTGCAGAGACCATCAAGGACCAAGTAGGTCCAGCCTCACCCAGCAGGCTACTAACAACCCAGCATAGCCATCATGTGCCTAGAACATTTACAGAGTCAAAATCTCTCTCTCTCTCTCTCTCTCTCTCTCACACACACACACACACACACACACACACACACACACAATAATAATAGCAATAACAATAAATAAAGCACCCTGTTGTTCGAAGGTGTCAAGGACTGAAGGGTGCAGGGGATGCTAACAGTGGCATCCCCTGGGAAGGTTTAAAGTGTGAGAACAGTTTCATATCTGGGTCTGAATGCAGGTGCCCTCTGCCCTTAGCGCTGAGTTTAAGAGACTCCTCGGTTTCCTTCCCTAGAAAGTGGAGTTGCAAACAAGGACACTCCCTTCAGGGCTACGAAAGGACAAAAGCCGTGTGCTATGAAAAAGACCGAGGGTTCAGGACATCTTAACTCACTCTCCGTGACTGAACATCGGGAAAAAGTGACATCACACGCCTGTACACAGAGTCCTTCTGGCTCTCTCTCTGCCATCTGCACAGCAACGTCACAGAGTGTGCGATCACTTTGATCTTGTGCTGAGGGAATTAGTATCCAGGGATGTGTAAGTAACTCATCCAAGGCCACACAGGTGAAGGACAGAGCCAGAATTCGGATGAACGCCTTTGCTCTTTTTACAAAGGCAAATAAGGAAGGGCCTCAGGAATGACCTCGGTGTAAGAAGTGACAAGTACAAAATTAGATCAGATCTGTGTGTGACCTCGGGTGAGCACTAAAGATGCTTCAAGGGCTCTGGGGATGTATCTCAGTGACCAGACATGAGCTTACCATGTGTGAGGCTCCAGGTTCAATCACACGCCAATCACATGTACACACAAATAAGATACATACGGGAAACCAACATGGAAAAAGATGACCAACAATATGTGTCATGCTCCTCAATCTCCTTTTAGCAAGTGACAGAAGTAAATAGGGACCACACTGTGACCCAGTTCCAATCCCTGTGCTGAGTCCACCGGCTTCAAGTTTCATATTGCGGGGTTAATGGGCTACATGGCCATGTCCTGGAAAGTGCTCCAAAACAAAACAGCAAATTCAGGAAAGTCACGGGAAGTGCCTGATTTCCTTGCTTCATGATGGGAAGGCATGCTGGGAGGTGATTGGAATAACTAGAACAGCAGTCCAAGACAGCATCAAATCCTGTAGTGGCATAATACACACAGATGCACGCACGCACACGTGCACACACACATACACACACGGACGAGCTCACACACGCATGCACACACGTATGCATGCACATACTCTCTCTCTCTCTCTCTCTCACACACACACACACACACACACACACACACACACACGTGTTCTCTGATGTTTTCCCTGGTCACAGAGTATGTCTCCAGACTAGACACCAAATATTTTTGTGTTTTCCTCTCAGGGAAACTGCTCACATCTTCATCCATGAAATCAGGCTAGACAGTTGAAGATCAGCAGTAAGGAAAAAACAGAATGGGGTTGTGTAGAGAAGAGGGTGAGCTTTCCAGTGGGTTGGAAACAGTCTTCCCCGGGGAAGGTCCTCACCAAGTATGGTCTACCCAAAGTTCCCACCCTGTGGCTAAGGCAGTTTCTCAGAACACTTAATGAACCAGGACCTGGTGAAAGAACGCAGGAAAACAGTGGTGGACTTGAGTATGCCTTCACACGTGAGCCTAAAGGAGGTCCCTGGCTTGCATACTTCCATCCAATGAACTTTTCCAACTAACACCTGGAGCCAGCTCCCCAGAAAACTCTCCATCCCTACAGGGCTACCTGTGGACCCACAAGTTATTCTGTTCCCAGGATCAAAGGCTGTGGGCTCTCTGCACCCTCTCCTCTTCCCAAACACTGTGCCCCTCACCCATGCCGGGCCACTCCTTTTCAGCTTGTGGCCCCCCACAGGCCGCGGGCTGCCCTGACCGCAGGGCTCGGAGCACCCCGCTCCGTCTGCCATCCCCATCATTCGGCACGCCGCCGCGCGCTCCCTGCCCAGCTCCTTCCAGGCAGGCGCCAGCCAGCAGCAGTGTAGGCAAGGAGGCTGTGCCCCAGTGCACGTTGCATAGTCTCCCACCCCGATGCCTTGGCCAAAGGAACAAAAAGGAAGCCGACGCCAGGAAGAGACGGGCAGGCTAAGGATGCGGCGGGACCGCGGCGGGCTCCACGCCTCTGCGCACCCGGCGGGCGGAGCTCGCATGCGGCCCGCAACCGAGCGGTTACCTTGAGGATGCAGGCCATGGCGCTACGGATCGACCCTGTGGCTGGCTGCACCTCGGCCCCGCAGCGGGACCACTCCAGCCCACATTCCCGCAGAGCGAGCCGGGCCGCGGGAGCTGCGCGCCCAGGCCCCACCCCCGAGCCCCGCCACTGGCTGGCGCTGCACGAGGCCCCGCCCTGAGTCACGTGCCCTCCGTGCGGCCCGCGACTGCCTGCTACTCTTGGGGCTGCTACTACTTGGCTTCTCTTCTCTTTCTTTCTTTCTTTCTTTTTTTTAAATCCCTTCCACAGACTTTGATCTGCAAAGCCCCGCCTGAAGCCGACCCGGATCTTCGGGTCTCCAGGACAGAAGGTAGCCAGCCATTCCAGCTGAGAACCCGCAGATGTGTGTGCCTGTTTCCAAAAAGTTAGCTGCCTCTGGCACCATCCCGCTACAGCCATGGGGCCCATCAAAGGATTCTTCGAAAGCAGCTGGAAGTGCCCCTGGCTAGCCCTTGGCACTGCAGAACTCTGAGGAGGGCTTCTCTTGCTATGATTGATTGGCTGTCAGTCGGAAAGCGCAAACAGCTAGAAAAACTGAAAGATCGGACACTCCTGGTCTGCACAGAAACAGCCATAATCTTCGCACGATGTGGCATGTGCACAACATGTGTAGCATACGCGCACATAAACATATGCAGATGTGGATGTTGTTTCCTGTTGCAAGGGTGTTGGTAGAATGTCTATATGCATGAAGATACAGTGTACACTGATTGCATACATATAGAGTGTGAGACATACACAGGACTTGACGACTCACTGCTGCAGTCTTGGGATTTCAACAACCAAGTTATATATTAGCTTTTCTCTTACGTTTAGAAATCTAAGGTCCCTTTCAACCATCCAGCCTAGACTGTCACGTGTTAAAGCAAAGGGCACTGCGGCAGGTTTACCCAAGAGGTCTCTGGATCTCTCAGGGTCCTAAGTGGGCCCTCTGTGAGTGACAGACAGCAAGGGAAAGCGACCTTCAAGATCAGCCCTGCTAACAGAAGAGTCATTTCTAGAAGAAGACGCATCCAGGAGGATACACAGCTTTCTGGCTCCTGGCATGAAAGGGATCTTTAAATTACTCCCCAAAACAGCTACCCTGAAGAAATCTCCCTTCGCAGATGCCCTAGTTAGCTGGTTCACATAGAGCCAGGACAAACGCATGCACTGAGGGCCATGAGATGGCTCTCACACCATCAGACAGGACCCGCGTATTCATGGGGATTGGCATGTTGTTGATGAGAACATTGAACATTTCCTGGGAGGAACCACAGGGAAGATGCTGGAGAGACCAGGGCCCTTTTCAAACCGCCTGCTCCCAGGCAAGCTCTGTCTGCCTCCAGGGAGACTGCACTCTGTCCTGCTTCCATTTCCTCCGTCTGTCCGTCCCTCTGTCCGTCCCTCTGCCTTGAGGGCAAATGTATTTTATAAGAAAGTGTGATGGAGATCACACATCCTACGCTGCTGCTTTAACAACTGCTCTTAGCAGGTGTGCTGGCTTGTTTCATGTTAACTTGCCATGAGCGAGAGTCCCTGGAGAGACAGAAGCCTCCACTGAGAGAATGCCCCCATGAGATCAGGCAGGCTGTAGGCAGGCCTGTGGGCCACCCTCTCAATTAGTGGTTGATGGGGACCATCCCTGGGCTGGTGTCCTGGGTTCTATAAGAAAGCAGACTGAGCAAGCCATGATGAGCAAGCCAGAAACAGCATCCTCCAGGGCCTCTTCATCAGCTCCTGCCTCCAGGTCCCTGCCCTTTCCCCAAGTGGCTTCTGATGATGTTTTGTCACAGCAATAGTGACCCTAACTGAGACAACAGGCCAGGAGAACTCAGCAGATAGATACATTTGTTTGTTGGTTTGTTTGGAGCAGGACACTCAAGTCACCAGGAATGTGGAGGTGGAGGAGAACTTCTGTGAGTCAGCTCTTTACTTCTACCAAGTGGGCCCCAGAGGTTGAACTTAGATTCTCGTGCTTAGGGGCACAGCCATCTCCGAGATCCCACATTCATTCACTCATTCACTCTTTCATTTGTTCATTTATTCATTCATGCATGCATGTCAATTGGTATTTTGTTATTGTTGTTGTTGTTTTGGAATCTGATTAGCTGGAGGGGAGAACCCTTAAATTAGTACAGGACCTTTCAGCATTAAGAGGTTGGTTTTTGTGGTCTCTGATGTCATGGCAAGACCGTAAGTCACAGCAAAGAGGGAAGATAAGAACTGCACGACTGTGCAGCATAGGAAAGGCTCCGTCACCAGAGAGCAAGAGCCAGCAAAGAGGGAAGATGAGCGCACGCACGCACAAGCAACGTCGCTCGGATTGAACAGGTTGTACTTAGGAACACAAGTGTATGCAGATAATAAAAATCATTTAAAAAGGAGCCAGGAATATGAAGGACAGCAGGGAGGTGTGTGTGTACACACACACACACACACACAGACACAGGAGGGTATTGCAGTAGGAAAGAGAAGGGAGAAGTTTTGTAGTTACAATCCCAAAAGTAAAATCTGCAGGACAACCCGGAAGAGTTACCAGACTCGTTACCCTTGCTTGGTGACCTTGATCAAACTCCTTAAAAGAGTATGGGGACCAATTACATTCAACTACCACCCGTGGTGAGGGTTTCCCTAACTGGATCCACCTACCCTGACATGGCTTTTTCAACTTAACACCCAACCACCCACAGCCCTGCTTTCCAAAGTGCTACTTTTTCTGTGTGCATGTGTATTGATGGTAAATATCTTCTTCCATCATTCTACACCGTATGTTTTGAGGTGAGATCTCCCACTGAACCTGGAGCTCACCAAGCCAGTGAGGATGGCAGCCAGCAAAGCCCCAGCAGCATCCTGTTTCTGTGCTCACAGACAGGCACCACCATGCCTGGGTCTTTATGTGGGTTTTGCCATCCAAACTCAGGTCTCTGTGTTTGCACAGAAAGCATTTGACCATGCTATCTTTCCTGACCTCCAACATCCACAGGTTATGACAACAAGGGATAGGGCTCTTGTTATCATCTAAAGGCAAGAAATGCTACGGTAAACCTAAACTGGCTTTTTATGAAATAGGATTAACAGCTGCTGCTTTTGGAGGAACTACCCTAGAAAAACTTCTGGTCATAAATAAAAAAAGGTTCTGTGTCTACCAGGGAACGGAGGTACCGCCAGGTTTTTAGCAGGTGGGTAGGAGAATAGAGTCGGGTATTTATTCTTGTTTTAAACTGGGCCAAATGTCAGGAATATCTTAGGCGAGTCATAGGCTCACTCCGATTTTCCAACTATTTTAGTCGTGCAACGTAAATGCAAGGCGCCTATTTCCAAAGTTATTAATAAAACAAAAGCCCCTTTCAGACAGGTGTTCTACCTGATCTGAGCCTGAGACACCCATGGGCCGGGCAGGGCGGGGGGAGGTAGAACTCAGAAGTCATCCATCTTACCCCACCACAGCCAGTTGGTCATTGTGGAGAGTTTGGCACTCTTTGGGTTTGGAATATCATCTTGGGTTTGCTCTTAAGAAAACCTTGGATTAGAGTCTACACCGTCTAACATACTGGGATGGTCAACCTCTATTGTTAATGTCAATGGGATTTGCAATCGCCATGCAAACACAACACACTATCCAGAGGGAAGCATAACCAGGAATTTAGACAGCACCATCCCAAGGGGTAAGGTCCGGAAGGACAGTAGCAGGCATCTTGCTTCTTGCCTGTGGACACCACGGGGCCAGCTGCTTAGTGCTACTGCTGTACTGTTACCTGGCTCCCCTCACCACACGGACTCTACCCTCAAACCATGAGCCAAACTGAACGGTCTCTTCATCACAGATGTTTGTCACAGAAATGTAAGTGTAAGTAGCAACGACGTAGGTCCAGATGAGGGAGCAAGGCCTTACGTCAATACGGAAGTGAATAGACCCTAACTGTGAATGCACAGATCAGACTCGCCATCTCATATTTCAACCCCAACCCTGGGAAATACATTATCAATAGCTCTTCATGCCCGGCCTAGGTGTGCCGCATCCTATGCTTTAGTTTGCTGTGATCAACGCCAAGACCAAAACCAATGTAGGGGAGGAAGAGTTTACTTGGTTTCTATGACCCCATTACAACCTGTCATCGGGAAGTCAGTGCCGGAACTCAAGGCGGGAACCTGGATATGAGAATACAGGAAGGCTGACTGCTGGCTTGCTCCTCATGGCTTGCCCAGCTCGCCTTCTTATTCATCCCAGGACCATAGGCACCAAACCGTACAGGGCTAGGTCCCCTCACATCAATCAGTGATGAAGACAATGCCCACACACTTGGCTACAGGCCAGTATAGAGGAGAGCGATTCCTCCGCTCGCACCCTCTTCCCAGATTACTCTAGCTTTTGTCGAGTTGAACAAGAGCTAACCAGCACGTCCCGCTGCCAGTCCATTCCACCTACAGCCATAAAATTACCTCCCGCCTACCAAAGACCCTCATTACTTGATCTGACTTCTCCAGGACCTGCCATACTTGCTTCCCTTGGTGACCAGAGCCTGGGAATGGCTACTATCAGCACACTGGCACCCTGGAACCTCGTTTGGCTTCCATTGCTCCATCTTCTCTCTCTGGACCTGGCCTGTCACCAGAGAGAGGTCAGCACGCCTTAGGACTCATGAGATATCAGAAGTCATGAGCTGAATTTTGCTATTTAAATTCATTTTTATTTCATTATAAACAGCTCCCCTTACCAACTAATTCTCCAAGTTATGAAATACAGTTCCCTGATAGAATTAAAACATGGGCTCTCATAACCTTTCCAATTTCACCCTGCACACATATTAATTTAATATATTTATATTCAACAGAGTCATTTATTAAGGTTTTAATTGGGTTTCAAACTTTCCCATCTAAAGATGCTAAATGAATTCCAGATATAATAAAAATTTTCCTTGTCGTCCACTACATAAATCACACTTCCATCAGGCTGACTGGAAGATCCATTAGGAAGTGTTATGGGGAAATCATTCTGTTATATTCCAGGTCAGCACTCTTTTTCTAGAAACAATTACACCCTTACCTTTTTCATATCCTAAAGCAGGTGC